TTAGGTGACCCTAAAAGGAGAGAAAAGAGAGCTACATTAGAGTGACAGTTTAGCCATATTCGGTTGTGGGACATCAGTCTGAGATAGCACACAGGCAGACAAACAGGTGCATGACACACATACGCACGCTACCTTCCACTGGGAAAGTCTGGGTGAGTCTAAAGCAGACAGTTCTGCCCCGAAAACCAGTATAGTCTGAAAGGAAAAGAGTCATTGGAATTTATTTCCATTAGCAGTTATCAAATAATGTGCAATAAAAGAAAGGAAGAGAAACAAAACTGAAGACATACCAGGGTGGTCTTCAGTACAGGATGGTGCAGAGGCTGAGGATAAAGAAACCCTTCCTGCGGTTGACACCAGGGGTGTCATTGCCTCATTTGCAGGTTATCATCTCTGTGGAGTATGGGGAGCAAAAAGCCAACTCAAAGGAATTTGGGAGGAAGATAGCCTTCGATAAATTTCACGCTCTGTGGGCGCATAGTACTCCACGTGGAGGAGGTTGTTGGGGAGGAGAAAGATTTAGTTGGTAACAGGAAGGTGAGGGAAAGTCCAGCATTGAGATTCTGAAATGGTTTTTAGTGATTGTATGAAGCTAATACACTTACGTTTAAGGGACACATAGCTAAAATAGTTTTAAATTTTAATCTTACATTTCAATTGCCCCATCCTAAAAGTCTCTAACGGTTTCCATTCTGCCCTCGCAATGTGCTTCAAAGTGTGTTTTGTCCCCTTGGTGGATGGATGGAGTCCTGTGTCGTGGACATTGCTTTGTTCCTGCTGTACAATTTCCGAACAGCTAAGGTCAGTTAAGAAGGGCTATTTTGTTTCAAAGTCCTGTATTTGGGTTTCAAATGTTGGAAGCAGGGGATTTTCCATGGCATTAGATTTGTTGGAACAGAAAAGTCAAGTTTTAGAATGAAACTGCCTGGGACTTCTCACCAATTCTGACCCAAATGAATTTTCACTTTAGGAAACAAACATTCAATTCCATTCAAATTGCTTAAATAAGCATTTATTGAGCAATAGCTTTCACAGAGCAGGGCGATAGGCTCCATTTGATTAAATTATTGTTTTTACTGAGGAGGCCACAGGTTTTTACTTTTAGACAATACAATAGATTAACTACTGCCATACAGTGTAGAACTTTTAGCAATACAACTGATGAAATTGACAGAAAAAAATACCAAGCCAATAAAATTTGAATCAGTAAATAGTGAGCATGTATATACTTAATTTTCTTCACTTATATTTTCATGTAAAATTTTATGACTGTGCAATTTTCTCCTTATTTTATTTCAAAGTCTGGATGAGCAGTGGAATAATA